TGACCTCCAGTCGCCGGTGACACCTAGCTAAACGCCATTCTCATTCCTCACGTTTGACTGATGCTATTGTCTATTCTTCTCTGTTTGGGCAACACCAGACCGCTGAGTTTGGGTCTTTAGGTGACACTGGTTTGGGCGGCACAACATCACAAGCTTCACATCTTTATTTCTCGTCAGCAAGAGGTGATTGTATCAACTATCAAACATCCATAATCAAAGTTCAGAGCGACAACTGTATATCAACTATCACAGGCTTGCCGGCGAACAGTGAGCGACACAACGTCACAGGTATATAATACATAATTTTTTAATATTTTAATTATGACATCATCAGACCGAACCATTCAACCCATCCGATCGAACCAATGACCCACAACCCAGTGGGAAAAACCGGGTCGACCTCTAGGTCAGTTTTAAAAACATTGGTATATTTTGCCTTTGGAGAAAGTTTTGATGTGTGCTGTGAAAAGAGGTGAACCAATAATTCTAGAATGAAGAAATGGTTGGTTGGTTTTCATGTAAATTGTTGGTTTATTTCTTATATTTTAAGCATGGGAGATTTACGGTGAAAAGAAAGGAACCTCCACTCCATTTTCTTTTCATCGATCTTAATTTAATTTTTTGGGCATTAACTAGATTTACACCCAAATTCTCTTTTGGGTCAATAGTTTTATATACATACTGCCTATTTTGTGGTTTGTGTGAACAAGGTGTTTGAAAAAGGTTGGAATCTTTCATGGGGTGAGTTGTAGGGTTCCACGGAACACCATGTCATCCTTTACATGGTCAAAAATATTTTCTTCAGGCCAATAACTTTATGCCACATGGCCAAAATGTATAGCCTTTTCCATTTATAACTTCAATGGCTATTATTCAGAAGAACATGGCATATGCCACACACCAACACCAACAGAGTAATCTGCTAAAGTGGAGAATGGCAACTAAGGTGAATCAATTCAAAGGGTCTCTTTATTCCTTAGGCTTCATTACTTTGGTAAAGGCTCCTTTCCATTTTTTTCTTTTCCTTTCTTTTTCTTTGATAAGAAATGCTTAGTTGTTAGGGTGTCAATTGCAAATTAGTAGTCTAAAGAGTCAAGACCAGATCCAATTTCAAGTCTCACATATGAGAACTTTATCAATTGACTGGTATAATTTTGGGATCCTCATGATTTGGTTTGATCCAATTTTTGGATCCTCTTTGAAAATGCCACGTTACCACGTGAATAGGTGAACGTGTCTACTTCAAAAACGCTCCCAACAGCATAGACCGTTGGCCTCCAACGGCCAAAATTATCCCTTACATGGGGGTAGTGATCAATTACCAATCAAAACGCTTCCAATATTGTCTCAACAAGCCATTGCTGCCGACCAACGTTTTAAAAACTAGAAATGAAACCAGTTACCGGTTTCTGGGTCAGCGGTTCAACCGTTCGGGTCTAACGGTTTGTATATTAGGGCAAATGCTTACATGAGGTTTGTATATTAGGGCAAACCTCATGTAAGAAAGAAGATGTCGGCTGAGAAAGAAAAAAAAAAGAAAAAAGAAGGAAAGAGAGGAGGGAAGAAGGAAGAGGATGAAGAGGATTCGATGCTCACCGGCGACGACAGTACATGCAGATCTGAGTTCTCAGTGTTAGATAGTGTATGTACTTAGCTCCAATTAGTTTGATGTACATTATAACATTTATTGTAAATGAATAAAGTACATATTTGATTCATGTTATATTGGTATATGCTTATGTGTAATACTCTTAAACTGGACATTTATAAGACTCGTGTTAGTTTAGAATATTCACAGCCGTTAAATAGATCTGTGGAGATTTATCCTGTTAAGATTGACACTGATGTATTGCCAAGTTGGTTGGGGTGGCTTGTCTCAGTTGCTAGGGTGAGACCTGAGGTACATGCAGTGTGGGTTAGCTTGAAACCTTGAACTATACCAAATTCCAGTATTGCCCTGCACCTTGGAGATAGATGAGCAAAACTGGAATGTTACACCTGACCTCTAGACTCGATTATGGTACTACACTAGGCGTCGGATTGGGCTATCTTTGATATACATCAGTGAGATCCTTAGAGGGGGTCAAAACCTGGGTATGTTGGGGCAGTCCGAGAATTCACCTGAGTGGGTGATCATAGTGACAGGATCAGCCCATTTGTCGGACAAAGTAAATGATCGGGGAATGCACTCTCTCTGATGGAAACCTAAACTACCAATAGTTGATTTCAAAGTGTTAAAATTTGTTTTGCAATATATATATGGTTTCAGAAAATGTTTGCAAAAGGTTTTAATTCCCGGGATCCATGTGAGTAAGGATTGTAGCACTGTACCTTGCAGCCAAGGGAGAGGCCATCTCTTGTCAGGTAGTGCTTGATCATTAAGGGATGTGAGGTTAAGTGTAAGACCATTTAAGGATAATAAACCTGATGGGCTAATCTCACATTTGCCCACAATCCTTGGGCCTTCATAAGATGGCTGGACCCAATGACCATTTAATATAAATGTTGGGCCCGTTAAGAGTCCATACTGATGAATTCAGGGGTTCACTGTATTCAACAGTGAATTCGGCTAGGCCTTATAACAGAGGCTAGGCTGAACCCATGTGGCTGATGTGGATATCAATGATAGGGTCCCACGCCATACAAAGAGAGCCAAGCTAGCTAAAATTAAAAGGAAGTGAGCCTGAAAGTTTAATGGGCCTAAAGCCCATTTTGAACTGGGTTAATTGGATTAATTAAATAGGGGGCGAATCTGGGTATGGATCAGCAAATAAGGATAAGAGGATAACTCTTATCCACTTAAAGAGTCCAGATCCAAATAAATATTTGGATCAGGAAACTTCTAATTTGATTAGGAGTAATTGATCTCGATCTGCAGATAAGATAATGGATTATCCTTATCACTTAAAGAGTTCAGATTCAAATAAAGACTTGGATCAAGAAACTCTTAATTAGATTAGGAGATTGACTCTTTAAGGGTTATATATAAAGAGGAGGGCGAACTAGAAAAGAGATACACAGTTTGACTGCTTTTTGCTTCCAGTTCTCTCTTTCGTTGCTCTTGCCGGCCTACCATGTTCGGTCTCCACCTCTTTGAGTGATCAAGATTCGATCTTGATATTGTTTTTTGGTGGAAGAAACAACTTTGAAGCTGTGCTCACTACTCCATTCGATTATTGTTGAAGAATCTAAGGTTCTTGGTGAAAAACCACTTGCTGATCCTGCATCACCCTAAGCTGTGTCATCTTTTGTGGATGGAGGATTTTGTACTCTCTTTAGGCGTGAACACCTACATTGGAATGAGCTTTTTGCATGGATTTCGTATCAGGTTTTCCTTTCCCTAATTTTGGTTTCAGATTTGGTCCGATTTGTTTCAAGAACAAACATTGAAAAATGCAGTTTTTCTAAATCAAGGAATAGGATTCCCAGATGGGATAAAGGAATTTTTGAAATTTCGCCCAGCCACCTTGCATGTTTTGGCCATCCATATGATGGATCTCTCATTCCTTTACTCAGATATCATATATGAGTTTTCTAAAGTCTAAACACCTATAGTTCTTCTTCTTCTTCTCCTTCTTGGATCGCATATCTGAGTTCGTGAGTATCTTAGGTCTGAATTCTACAACATTATATAGCGAACCGCTGGCTAGGTCAAACGAGTCGACGGTTCGACCGCCCGAGTCAACAGTTTTCTGAAGAAATCAATGGTTTTTTACCCAAGAACAAGTTAGGAATGAAACGGAATCGGTTGCTTGGACGGTTTCTGGGCCAAATGGTTCGACTGTCTGGGTCAATGACAGTTCAAAAACATTGTTGTTGACTATTTGTCAAATGTTGGGAGCATCTAGTTGGTACTTGGCAACAGATATGAACTCGATATATAGAATCCAATACCTACTAGCATAAAACGAAATTGAATTTGCTCCTCACAATGGGCGCCTCACACCGGCCTCACACGCACACCCTACCATGCATTGGGAGCATCTCCCATACTTATAAGTTATGGGTTGGGTTGGGTTAACCCCTTAGCCAACCCGACCTAACCTGAACTCGACTCTATAGTACATGTCATATATAAATATATGTTATATGTAATATATAACATACATTGATTTGTTTAGATGCATGATATTTGTATAACCCCCACCATATAGTAATCATTTCACTTAATTCTAATAAGAAAGACTAAAACCTTAATAACATTATTTTATGTTTTTTGAAAATTTTATTCTTCATCTCCTCTGTGTTGTTTGCCGCCTAAGACTGTAAGTCATAATTGATAATAAATTAGTCATTTCTGCCACTTGTTTTTCTGAATTTTGTACCAAAATAACAAAAAAAAAAATGTCAACAAACAAATATCAATGAAACATAGGACTAATATATGTAGCGAGAGTTAAGTTAAGATCTAAAATCAAAAAATTATATGAGGTTTTAAGGGATGGGAAGAATGTTGGGTTAGGCCCGGAATTGACTTCGCGTTGGGTTGAGTTGGGGTTTAAAACTTAGGGTTGGACTAGGGTTGGCCTCAAGACGACCTAGATGTACCTATGAGGCACCTATGTGTGAGGAGCATATCCCGTTCCACATAAAACGTGGCTTTATTAAAAAGTGTTTGATAAAAGATTGATTCAAGTAGGCCCATCTTGGGTAGCCACCACAAACCATAAGTTGCCACGTGTGGGGAACATGTAGTGGGAGTATGATGGTAGTTTGGAGTTCGCATCTCCACCGTGCCTCGCCCCACAATCACCCCACACAATGTGCGACTGGCACCTGTTCAGTCGCACGCGGTGGGGTGTGCCTTCGTGCGGGGCTAAGGGGACAGACATTAGCCCCTCCCGTTAGCCCTAAAACGATCTCAAAAGGCAAACTGCAGGCTTCTCCCATATTCCCGCCCCCCTGAATCGCAAATCGGAGGCTCTGACCGCCGTTCTAGCCCGAGCTCAGATCTCCGCCCCATCTCTGGCACTAGCAATTGCTCCGGTCACCAGGTAAGCTATAACTCTCGTTTCATTAAACCCTCCTTGGATCTCTTCCTGAATATTGGAAGCTAGGGGGTCATCGAAAAGCAAAAAGGAGCCATCCAAGATTGCAAGGAATTGCACCAAATTACAATGAGTTCTCTACAGAAATCCTTGTCCCGGATTCGTTCTGGTGACACCCAGAAACTATCCGACGCTAGAGCATTCCTCAGTGCGTCTCTCACCAACAAAAAGACTTGTTTAGAAGTCTTGATTCTGCGACGGGTCCTCTCAAGTCGGTTATAGTCCAGTCCATAGCCAGTCTCTATAGACACATTAGTAATTCACTTTTAATGTTGCCGAAGCAGGAGCTCAGAAAAGTGACGGAAGGTTCTAACCGTCGTCTCATGGGTTTTCTGGCGTGGGTGTCCAGGAAAGATCGTCGGATATTACAGAGATTCGACGGTGACTATAATCCAAATGACGTGTTTACGGTGGCCAAAGACGGGAGCGGAAACTTCACCACCATCACGGACGCTTTAAAGGAGGATTTAATAAAAACCAAAACCCCACATAAAAAACGAGAGTTAGAGCTTATCTGGTCGCCGGAGCGATCGACGGTGTCGGAGATGGGTGCAGAGACCTGAGCTCGGGCTAAAACGGGGTCAGAGCTTCCGATTTGAGGTTCGGGGGGGGGGGAATATGGGAGAAGTTCGCAGTTTACTGTTTTGAGATCGTTTCTGGACTAACGGGCGGGACTAACGTCCGTCCCGTTAATCCCGCACGCGGGCACGCTTCACCGCGTGCGACTGGACAGGTGTCAGTCGCACGTTGTGTGGAGAGATTGTGGGGCGAGACGCGGTGGGGCGGAGATGCGAACGAGCAAAAAAACAGGGTACTAAATTAACTAGACATGAAAATAATCCACTTATCTAATCATCATTTGTTGGCGACTTGGCGTTTATATCCCGTTTCATAATCATCTTTAGGAGCTCCTCGCATCAACCTCACAACGATTAACAACCGCACATCTAGAACATCTCCCATACTTTATATTGTCATCGACAGGGAGATGCTCCAATATACAGAGGGATAGGGTTGTTAGGTGTGTATTGGAAGTAGCGGATGCCGGGGATGTGTCAACGGACGCCAAACTGGATTCAAATCCAGTCGAATCCACACGCACACGCATAGGCTCAGCACACACGGAGAGAGGAGAGAGGAGAGAGGAGAGAGAAAGGGTAGAGAAAGGAGAGAAAAAAAGGTGGAGAGAGAGAGATTGTCTCAATCATTTTCTGCTCTTTCACTCTTTTATTTCCTTCAATCATATTTTTTTCACTCCTTTCGCTCTCTCTCTCTCTTGCCACACTATTTCCGGCGACAGAGAAGGAAGTAGAGAAGTATAAGAAACAAATTCTCTCTCCTTACGTAACTTTCTATTTTTCTCCTCTCTCCTCGATCACGACAAGATTTTCTTCGAATCTCCCGAAGATCCCACCTGTAATGGCGATCGTCCAACTCCTCCCAATTTAGGGTTTCTTAACTGAAAATTTTGGTTCTCTGTACTGATTCGTGGGCTTGGATTGAAATTTGGAGTTATAGGGCAAGTAATCATCGGGTAAGCGATCTTTGCTTTCTTTGTTCTTCGTTCGAGTTTTTACTGGGTTTTGTTTTGTTAATCGAGTTATGGTGCAGAACTCTGTTGTTTTGAATAGTTTCCCGGGGATGGGAGGGGGATTAAAAATTTAGTTTGGTCTGTGATTGGTTCAGCTAGTTTGCAAAGTAGTGTTATCATTTCGAAAAATTTTGGCGTGACGGCGAATGGGTCGACATAAAAGGTCGTCTTTTTAATTATTTCGCGGGAAAAAAGGTTTTTTCTTTTGGTTTCTAAATTGGAAGAAGTTCCTTCGAGAGTTCTGTTTATTCGGAGTTTGATGGTTATTCCGAAGTTGAGGATTGTTGGGTTTGTTTGATAAATTGAGCCATAACTATGCCAGGGAGAGACAAGATGGCTTAAGATGAGCCTATTGCTCTTTCTATTTTTTGGTCTTTCGTTGTGATTTTGGTTTATGTTTTCTACAATTTGGTCTTCTTGTACTTTCCCTGTTTCCAAGCGGACAACTTATTGGGGATATTCATTTATTTTTATTACTTTATTTAGTTTTCTAGGTTTTATATCTTAAGTGTGTCGTCATCAGACCTTATAAATCCTTCAGGGATACTGTCCAAGTTCTAACACCTGAGAAATCATCAATTGCCTGGTCCTATGCCATAATTTGGATTTATTGTGAGTTGTTAAACTTATTTGCAATTTTTAGAAGTAACCATTGTCATAGTTTTTTCTTCACTTCGTCTCTTTAATTGGGGTTAGATATAGGCTGTATCTCATATATATGATTTACTTTGCACAACCTTGTACTGGATTGTGACTTTGAGGAGGATCTTGGATTTCTTAGATTTTGATCACTTGAGAAGTTAGACAACTATCAAATGCTCTTAAAGCTTGTTATATACCTCGAGAGTAGATATTTTTGCAATCTGGTGTCTTAGTGATGTCTTTGTGGAGGCTTCATAATATCTTCACCTACTCTTTGGGTATAAAGTTTCTTTTTATAAACTTAATCAATAAAAAAATTATCTTCAGAAAATTTCCCAGCTAATGCATATTGTATGGGTTCACAAATAGCGGCAAGTCTAGATGAATTGCAGGTTTGCAACCTTTATATTTTATTTATACTGTTGTAAGTATGCTACTTAGGTGCCGTCCTTATCCATGTTATCATTATCTTCTTCTTTGCCTGTAATTTCACCCCTTCTGGTAGATTCTCACAACGGGATGAGAGGATCATCTTTGACAGTATTTTTTTTCTCTGTGGGTTCACAAGTAGAATAGTGGTTCATTCTAATTGGAAGTCTGCAATTTGATTTGTGTGCGCGTGTGTGTGTTTTGTTGGCATCATATTCCATGATCTGCTTTGTGCCAGGGATTCTTGTTTGTTTTGTACAGCCAATACAGTGGAACCTATTTAGTATATCCAGTACTTGGAGCCACAAAATGATTGTCATAGAGACTAATAATTGCATGTTTTTCCATTTGTATCTTTCCATTACTATTTGCAGGAAGGCAGTGGGATGGAGCAGTCTTCAGATCATCCATTCTCAGGTAGTTCTTAATGTGTTCCATCTACCTACCTACCTTTCCACCAAAAGGTCTTCTGTATTTCCTCAATAGATGCAACATAAATATAGATGTGGATGCATGCATTCATGAGGATAACATTCATATCTACATGCTTCTTTGGGGTGTTACTCATTCTTGTTGGCTGTTGCAGGTCCTTCCAAGATATCATCAGTAAATATTCCAGAAAAAGTGAGAAATGGTGCATGGGGGATTCCATTTGGATCTGATGCATATCATACCTCAAGTGATGCTAGCCTCTTTTCAAGCTCATTACCTGTTCTTCCACATGAAAAGTGTATGTTCAACCTCTCCCTTGAAGATGCTATTAGCAAACTATGTGTCATGGAAAAGGTTTTCCAACCTCTTTTTGTCAATGTGCAGTGAATTTTACAGATTCAGAACATGGTGGCCAATCTGTTGATGATGCGTCATCTATTTTGAATAAACTACATCAAGATGTTGAGGGTAAGGATCCTCTTGAAGATGTTGAGCTGCATGCAATAGGAAGCCTACTTCCTGATGATGAAGATGAGCTCTTAGCTGGTATAATGGATGATTTTGACCTTAGTGGGTTGCCTAGTCAATTGGAGGACCTAGAAGAATGTGATCTTTTTGGAAGTGGAGGGGGTATGGAGATGGATTTTGATCCTCAGGAGAGTCTCAGTATGGGTATGTCAAAGGTAACCTTGTCAGATGGCATTGCTAGTAACGGGGCCACTCCATATGGTCTTCCAAATGGTGTTGGAACAGTTAATGGGGAGCATCCATATGGGGAACATCCTTCTAGAACACTTTTCGTGCGAAATATCAATAGTAATGTTGAGGACTCAGAACTGAGAGCTCTCTTTGAGGTTAGTAAGATATCACTTCAGCTTGGTTCTAGCTATTTCTTCTTTTCCTCTTTATGTTCTTTATTTTTAATGGTTAATGAACAGAACTTTTATTTCCATACACTACTTTTATTGATCACACCTTTTTAGTGTTTTTTTTGTAATTATTCTATTTGTCAGGCGGAAATATTTTCTTCTTCGTGGTTGTGTCTGGATAAGTCAAGGTTGAACTTGCATTACTATGGTTCAGTGGAGACCTTTGATTTTATTCAATGATTTACTTTTGGCCCTAAGCAAATAGAACCGTTTCTAATGTGTTATGGTTGCAAATGGCTGAGCCGTATGTTAGGTTCTAATTCTATTTTATTTGCTTCTACTCATTGCTTCTGAAAAACTTACTTCTAGAGTACAAATCATACAATATGGTCTTTTACAAAGAAATTTGTTTTGACTTTATTAAAGATTTTTTTTTAGCAGTTCAAAAATATTATTAACAATGAGCAAATGAAAGGGAGAGAGTTATGCAGCATATTTGACGTGGCCCAACATTTACCCTTTCATTATAAAGATCAGAAATTGATGTTAGAAGTTCCTATTTGATAGATGTGTTGGGAAATGATCGTAGAGTGGCGGTGGACCAATTTCTATGCGGTGTTTCATGCAAGGATTAAAATATCGATATGCTTGATACCCAAACATGGGTATTAGTGCATATCAATATGGCTGATACAGTGATACCCTTTTTTTTTAATTTTTTGTTTTTTATTTTATAATAATTAGAGGGCTGGCAAAGAGGCTTGAGACATTTTAAATATTTTATAAAGTTTGTGTATTGGTGTATCCAAGTGCATTTGGGTACACCGATACTGGTATGATACATCCAACATAGGGTGTATTGTATTGATATTCTAATCCTTGGTTTCATGGACATGGACATGGGAGTTGGAGTACATCACATGTCGAAGAGTCTATTGTGGCAAGATAGGAAAACATGGACATGCATACACATCTATAGAGAAGTATATACTATTAAAATAGTTTGTATTTTTTGAATTCTAACAATATATACCTAAAAAGTTGCCTTTGTTACTAAATAATATTTTATTGGAAAAATGGCACTCATCTTGTACATTAGCTGTTCATTTATTCAAGTAAGCCAAGAAAAGAAAAAGAAATATTTTTTTTGATCAGTAAAAGAAATGTTATATAGAATTGTCTCTCAAGAACCTATGGAATGTTAGAATATGATGCATGTTTGACATGGGCATGGCCATTTAGGATAACCCATGTAACATGAAGGATTAAAGTATCGCTATCAGGTATCGTATCGGACAACTCGGATACGGATATAGATATGGATATGCTTTGGAAATGCATGGATACAAACGGAAAATGAATATTAATTCCATAAATATATTACTACAATGGGTTTAATGTCAAAATAGCTAAAATAATGTATAAATACGTAATGATTATATATTCCAGTGCTATATATGAAGAAATATATTACAATTAATATAACGGATTGCATAAATATCATACAATTTTATTGATATGCATCAACAAAGATTCCAAGAATCTATCAAAAAAATAAAGATTATAAGACACATATTATATAGATTTTTACAAATTAATACATACACAAAGCCATTATTATCTTATTTTATATTAAAGTTCAAGGCACAAAACATATGCACATATTATACAGTGTTTTAAAACGTGGAGGCATGATGCGAGGCGTTCCACTACCCGGAGGCATGATACGTAGTTCAGAACGTGGGAGGCGTAAGCCTCCCGAGCACAGGGAGGCATAAGCCTCAAGTATATATATATATATTTTAATAATTATAGTGTATATTAATAAAAAACAGATATTTTAAGCATAAAAGCATATGTAACACTAAAATAGGAAGAACAGAATCAATAGATTACATAACATGGCTGTGTGGCATAATTTATTCATGCAGCTCTGTTAAATAAGGCTGAAACAAAACTACTAAAATCAAGAAAAAAAAGAAACAAAAGAAATGAATAACATAACTACTAAGTACTAATCGTTGAAGCTTATTGATCCAAAAAAAAAAAAAAAAAAAGAACGTTGCAGGCTTGCAGCTTTGTCACAGGTTCACAGCCGCCCAGGTTGGTCGGTTGGTCCAACAGCAACCTCTCTTTGATTGCAATTGAAAATAGAATAAAAAAATTAAGATCACCACATCTGAGAAATTGCAGGTTGCTCGAAGAAGGAAAAAAAACACATACCAGACCAGAATGCCTGAACTCGAAGTTGCAGGTTGAAAGTTGAAGATGAGTAGAGACTCGTTCTTTGCACAGGTTTCACAGAGACACAGAGTTCAGAGTTCAGACTCAGTTCTCTCTTTCGAGCCCTAAAGTTTGGGTTCGAAAGAGGGATATTTCCCCCTCTTTTACACTTAATGGTCTGGACGCTTCTGTCATGCGCCTTTGGGCGTTTTGGGGGCGTCGCCTCCAGGCGTACGCCTTCCACGCCTTTTAAAACATTGATATTATATGTTTTGTGCCATTTTTTAAAGTTCAAGGCACAAAATATAATAGGTGCCATTATTATCTTATTTTATATTAAAGTTCAAGGCACAAAACATTAACATTAACAAAAATGTCAACTAAAAAATAATTCTCAAAATTTTGGTAAACAATAAATATGTTATTATAAAATGCAAATCAAAATATTAATTGATAATTTATAAATATATAATCCCAACTTAAAATATATCAATTCTATTTAAATTTCGAAGATACATATTATATCAAAATTCATAAATTTTAATTACTAAAATAATTATTTCATTATTAATATTTTTATTTTTGTAAATTTCTAAAATAAAGAATAATCTTTTAATATAAATATAGATTATTGGATTTGATAGATTCAATTTATACTATATTTTTAAACATTTTATAAATAATAAATACATGGTTATTTAATGCAAATTAAAATATTAATTAATAGTTTATAAAAATTTTGAGATACATATCATGTACAGATTTATAAATTTTAAGTATTAAAATAATTATTCTATTGAATTTGTGCTTGTTGTCAAACTGAGGTTCGATACGCTTCCGTATCGGTGCGTATTGGACTGTATTGGCCAATACTGCATGATACACACCGATATGATGGCGTATTGGACTGATACGCACGACTGGAAGGATACAGTATCCTTCCAGTCATAGCATATCCCGTACTGTATGACCCGACACTGATATGATACGCCCCGTATTGGGTGTACCGTATCAATATTTTAATCCTTGTGTAACATTGGAAATTTGTGAAGAAAAATTAATGGTGAAATATGAATATGACTGTCTAGACTGCAGGAGTTTGTTGCTGAATAGAGATCTCAGCAATAAGAAATTATAAGAAAGCCCAAGATAAAGAAAAAAACAAGAAGAAATAGTTCCTACATTAAGGATAGATAGCAAACAATAAAGAAAGAACGGAAGAAAATATGGATAATTATTATAGATTATAGAAAACAGAGAAGCAATACCTAGCTACAAAATTAAATCAAACTGCCCCTTGCTTTGCTAGAGAGTCAGCTAAAGCATTTGCTGATCTCCTCACCCATTTAATATTAACAGCCAGGCTCCTTATCAGCCACTTAAATTTTTTAATTTCATTCTTAAAACTCCACACGATAGACTCAGGGTTCTGTAACCAGCCCACTACCAACTTGGAATCCCCCAATTGTATTGGGCTCATTTGTTGGCTGAATTTGTTTTTCTGTTTTCTGTTTCTTGTTCTTTGTAGAAGACGCAGCTCGCGCCTCTTCATGGGTAGCTTCTTTCTCCAGCTCTTTTCTTAATGAAATCTTAAATTATTTATCAAAAAATATAAATAAATCGAACCGCTTTTGTGAAATCAACAAATCTATTTTTCAATTACAGCAGCTATGTATTGACTCAACACACGGATTAAATCTCCCTTTATATACTCCAAATCCAACTTCAGAACAGACCAGAATTAACCCCTAATTGCATTAGCACTTATGTAAACTAATAAATGATACATAGGAACATTCAAATAGAGGGGGGGGGCAGTGATTCTAGAGGTTTGGTCCTATCAGCCAATGACAATTTTCCTAGGCACTTTCTCAGTATGTCAAGGGTAGAAAAGGAAATAGAAGTTGTATCGACTGTCGAGTAAATTATTTTTGCATAGTATAGAGCAACATGGAACATGATGAAGGGTGACTCTAGAGTGGTGGTGGATTGATTGAAGAACAACCTTGGCAGTACCCAAGCAATACGAAGGAACTAAAGGCATTAGCAAGGGAAATGGAAGCAAACTTACATTTTGATACATAGATACAGCAAATGCTTTGGCTGATGCTATGGCTAAACAATGGGTTAACAGGGCACGATTATTTTTTAGGGACTTTGGTTAGTGTACTCTAACTTCTAAAGAAAGGGATAGGTAGCTTGTGCCATCCTATGGAGTAGGGATGCTTGGAATGTTTCATAATTAATTCTTTCTGTTTATTATCTAATAAAATTTTACTATTACCAATCAACCAAAAAAAGGAGCACAATGAGGTCTATTACTTTCTTTTTTTAAGTTACCATTTGGAGGAAAATGAAATAATTATGACCATTCCATGAAATGGTGTATCATGTTTGCTACAGGGTTGGAAGTGATGAAAGATTGATGTTTTGGAGAGACTCTAGTTCGTAGTTAGTCCAAAATCTCTGGATTCTTAGAGGTTGACAATACTAAGAGTATACTCAATAAAAGCTATTTTGAGGAAAAGGGGTTGGGGTCTATGGATTTCAAGTTTTGCAGGAATATTGAAACACTTAATGATTAGGGACTGTAGCACTGTACTTATTGGTAGATCTGTGGACTAAGCTGCATGACCTGAGTATCCTTCTGCAGGGAGGAGATAGGAGAGTTGCAAATAGGTTGATGTGTGCTGGGACATGCTTTGCACTTTTAAGGTTCTGGAGTTTCACATCCATGGTTTTGTGTTTGGGCTTTAACATATTCCATTTATCTGGTTACTTGTTGGAAAAAAAATGTTTTCCAGATTCCAAGTTCCTGTTAGTCATATTCCATGGAATGTGCCATTTTAGTGAGAAGTCTAATTTGTGTTAATGTTTTTCAGAATGATAGCTGAATAGCCAAATACTTCTCTGAACTCATAAATATATATTTTGGTTACAACTTGTTCATTTTAGATGTTACTATCTTAATATGTTTGACATTGTGTTGTTTTGTAGCAATATGGTGATATCAGGACTCTTTATACTGCATGCAAACACAGGGGCTTTGTGATGATTTCCTACTATGACATTCGGGCTGCTCGAACAGCTATGCGTGCATTACAAAATAAGCCCTTGCGACGGAGAAAACTTGACATTCACTTTTCAATTCCAAAGGTTCAAAAACAAAATTTAATCTTCTTAATTCCAATTGCTGAGCCACTGATTTACCATTTATTACCTGCTTCATGCCTTTTCTTCCTATATGCCAGGATAACCCATCAGATAAGGATATTAACCAAGGAACTCTTGTAGTTTTTAATTTGGATCCATCGGTTTCAAACGATGATCTCCGCCAAATTTTTGGGGCTTATGGGGAAGTTAAAGAGGTCTGAAGTTGTTTTCGTATGTGTAATTAATATTTTCTATGGTTTCTGCATTAGTTTCTTCTGTATGGTACTCAACCTGTGGGTATTTGATGTTTCCTCATTGCATAAAAAGCATAGATCAGGGAGACACCACACAAGCGGCACCATAAGTTTATTGAATTTTATGACGTCAGAGCTGCAGAAGCAGCACTTAGGGCATTAAATAGGAGTGACATTGCTGGGAAACGCATAAAGCTTGAACCTAGCCGTCCAGGTGGAGCACGCCGAAAGTGCGTAATGCTGTTCTCTCTCTCTCTCTCTATCTATATACTTAAATGCACAAATACGCTGGAGATCATGCAGCTTACTATTTTCTCTTTTATATAGTTCCTAATTTTCCCTGCTGCTTTCACTCTTCTTTTTTTTGTCCTAGTAATTCAAGTTTTTGTTTTATTAAATTGTGTTCCGGAGTTAGTTAATTTGAAACACTGAAATGGGGGGTTGAAAACATAGAGAAAGTCTAGGGGTTGGAAGTTGTCAAGCTTGACATTGTTAGGTTAGGGAATCCAAGACTCCAAGTCCTTCAGGAATCAGTGTCAGTGTGTCACTTGAGTTTACAAGAAGATTTTCATGGTATATTACAAGTTAGTTGGCTTTGATGGTTCTATTAAAGTTGAGATCATGGCTTTTGTAGAATATATTAGGCTAATGTATTCACCAAAATTTGAATTGGTGGAGGTGGACTCCCAGATGTTATCAGCTGTTGCAAGAGTCTGCTGATGGCCGGTAGAGTTTAATTACTTCTTTTGAAAGGAAAGTGCCTTGGTTTCTAGAGAGACCATCTTTTTCAGATGGAATTTATGGTCTGTCTGCTGGATTTCGACAAACTTGTGAGGTGTTTTGAGGTTTGAGTTCTGAAGAGCTGATATTCTAATATTTTTTCTGTTGCCTATTTACCTCCTTCATTGTATGGTCTTGAAGGCCTTTTGTATGCTGCTCTACTTTCCTACCCTGGGGTGTTGAGCACTTCCAATCCTTTTTTTCTTTGCTTCTTAGTACAAGTTTCTTTGTGGATAAAAAAATTAGAGTTTTATTGGAGCCAAAGGTTAAAATTAAATGATAGTTTTTGAACCGAAAAGTTAGGGTGCAAGAAAGGAGATTTTTTTTAATCAGTAAGCAGTAAGCAATTCATTAATTACTGAGAAAAAAACATTAGAAGATAAGACAAAAAGAAAAAGAAATGTTTACAGTCAAGTTTTAACAGCCCCTATTACAAACCTGCCCAGAATAAAACATCCTTACACACCCCTTGTTTTGCCAAGCTATCTGTCATTCCGTTTGCTGTTCTCTTTATCCATTTGAAACTTGCTTCAAAATCAAGAAAGGAGATTTACCAAATCTGAAATTAGTGAAGGATTTTAATGATAAGAACAGATTCGGGTAATGCAGACTATGGAAAGGAATAAGTGGAACTTAACCACTAATCTTTGCCTTGGGACATGGTATCCTCTTCAGTTAGAGCAATAAAAACACTAAAGAAGTTCTTGTCATATATTTTTCTAAATCTTAAAATAGCGATTGGGAGAAAAATCTTTTCTAATATTTCCTTATTATATCTTTAGATACGATCTCCTACTAATTAATTACCATGCAATTTCTTTCTATAATGTTACTAATTAATTTCAGAAATTTATATTTTTACTTTCTTAAATTAAAGCCAAACTACTAGCCCCGATAACATTATTTTGATGAATAACTGAAGCATTTCATTAGAACTGAAAACCTAACTGCTCACCAAGATGTGCAGCAGGCCAAGCCAAATTGTACAAAGCTTATCATTATTATCATCTAAGTCTTGACCCAACTATATGGGGTTGGCTACATGAATCTTGTTTCATCATTCTATTCTGTTCAGTGTCATATCCATCGTTAAGTTATTGGCACTTCTAACTTCTTTACCCACCCCTGCCCAAAAGGATGCAGGAACCCTTACCTGTTTAACACCACAACTGGCTGTTGTTGTGGGTCACTTCTGGTGTAGTGGGTTTCTTCCAAGGGATGCTTTAGCATGAGGATGGAAATACATTAGGATCCATGACTGTGAGTGTTTGGCAAAAGTTTTAGTGCTGGCTGCCAACTTGACACAATTCTCCTTTATCTGAGCTTGAGACCAGCGGTGTAAGCAAGGTTCAAAATTTTGACACGATTGGGCATATTGTATCATATTGGTGGGGCATTAGTATTCAAAATACAAGCTTATTGGCCTTTTAACCTAATTTTTGAAAAACAAAACAAAAAAATAGACATGAGTTAGGTGCAAAGCACCGATACACCCCTTTCGGTGTATTGGAGTGTATCAATACTTTGGACCTTGGGTGTAAGACAATCTCACATTGGTAGAGTTCCAAATTGTACAAGGCTAGCCCTTAAAATTACTAACCATGATAACATTAATATGAGCTATAGCTCTAAAATTACTGAACTGCTTGGTGAGCCAAGAACCAAGGCAACCAACAGCATGTGTCTTTTAATTAGCTCTTAGTGTACTGTATTGAACCCCACCAAATTTTCTAGTCAAAGTATTATGAAGACAGTGTCAGTCATATGATATGTTTTGATGGGTTGCTCTCATTCTTGGGATGAAATACTAGGAAACACATACCAATTGTTGTAGGAACAATTGCTCTTAATTCCAAATGATGTTGGATGGCTGTGTTGCAAGGGTGTTCCTAGTAAGGTATTAATTAGCTAGGCTGCTAGAGTAGGGTTTAGGGATGGTTTTAGAACTAAAAGAGGAGATTTGTTAGTGTCTTGGGGCTTAACTACAAGAATTGCAAGTTTGTTGTAAAAATGTAAAAAAGCTTTGAATTAATGAATATAGTTCTAGGATTGAAAGTTTTCAATGAAATTGTATAGTTGTGGGTTTGAAATTTGGTTGATATTGGTAAGGTTTTTGAGTACGTTTGCACAAAAAGGCAAAAATTATTTTGTGAAGAAAGTTATTGACCAAATATCAAGGCATTAAACTTTTTTTTTTTGAGAAGAGGTAAAGCATTGATTCATTAAGAAAACAAAGGTAAAAAAGACCCATGTACAACCAGAGGGCTATACATTGGGGAATACAAACAAACACTAGACCACTATCCCATTTGTCATTACAAAAAGGTTTACAAAAAGTACTTGGATCAATTTCAATCCTTTAAGGGCATTGAATGAACTCCTCTAATGATGAAACTGTGGGTTGTTAATGGCTGTAAACTTCTACTTGTAGGATTTGATAGAAGATAGAGAGGAAGAAAAGAGTGAAAGCGCAGAATAGCTCATCTAAGAGCCTAGAATCATTTTAGGATATATTATATATATCACTCATTAAAAGCAAAGTATGTAGAAAATCCACTCCAATTCACCATGTTTTTGACTGAGTTGCAACTATCATAATTTGTCTCAAAGAAAGCACAGTAACTCCTAAACTACTAAACCAATTTCTCTGAAATTTTAAACATGACTAAACAGTCACTAGATAAATTATTGAACACCTAGGGTGGACCTCACCTACATGTAGAATGACCAAAATACCCCTAGTGTTTAAAAAATACAAAAAACATAAAAGTTCAGAAAAGCCAAAATTTGGCTCTTTGGTTCTTGCATCAAACTGGATATGGGATGCTATTAAAATATGGAATTGAGTAGAAGGCAAGGAAATAAGCTAAGAATGGAGAAATACCAACAATTGGAGCATACACAAGGAGATTTGAAGAGAGAGATTTAAAGAATTTATTCTTGAAGTGGTTTAAACTAATTATGATTTCATCACCTTGGAAATCTTGGAGAACCTATTAATTTGTGAAGGTTCACTGCCTTTTTAGTTTTTAACTCAACTTAATACCATTCCCACCAAAACCTTATAAAACCAAACAAGCTTGTAACCTAGAGTGTTCATGGACCATGGACTTGGATTCTGGTAAATAGATATTCAATTGATGTGAGCAAGTAAAGCAGATAGCTTACTGACTTGTGTACTTTCAATGCCTTGTATGAAATGCAGAGATATTTCTTACCTACAGAGTTTTCATGAATAAATAGATTCACCTCAGCTTCTTATCATAACATTTTCTCAACCATTGGTTTTGATGTGATGCTTAATTAACTTTATTTTATGGAGCACTTGTCATCATAAACAGCCTGCTTGTGTAATTCTGTATCTCTTTGTTGTTAAAAAATGATTGCAGTTACACATTGTGAACTCTCATCACAGTAGTTTAGTCTTGTTGGTTGTTCTTTTATCAGGGCTTCTATGGTTTCTTTTTTTTTTATATTTTGTGTAGAGTAGGCTCGAGTCACACTCATGTCAATTTGTTGAGTTGTGGTCTAGTTTATAGTTATTTATTCTCTTGAGTCTTTCAATTTCTAGTTTATCATTTTAAAATTTATTAAATTTATACCTCTATATTCAGCTTGATGCAACAGTTGAGCCAAGAGTTGGAACAAGATGAAACTAGGAATTTCCGACATCAAGTAGGTTCACCAATAGCTAATTCCCCTCCAGGTAGGTTCTATTTGAATCTTTTTTTCATATTTAATAGTTTCTACTTTCTAGTCTCTTCTTAATCCTTGTGCTTGTTTTAGTTTGTATTACTTGCCCTTATTGTTGTAAATACAAGTTCTATTAGAAACTAAATTGATTAATTGCATTCTGCATTTCTGACAGGTAACTGGGCCCAGCTCAGCAGTCCTGTTGAGCACAGCCCTTTGCATGGTATGAGTCATTCTTCTTCAGGTATAGGAGCAATTAGTCCTATGAACAGCAACCATTTGCCTGGCTTAGCCTCAATTCTGCCTCCTCTTGGGTCAAATTCTTTGAAGATTGCACCTATTGGCAAGGACCAGGGACAGGTGAGCCATGTGGACTCAGTATTCAACAATAGCAGTTCAACACATGGAACTGCATATATGCAATCACATTCATTCCAAGAGATGAACTTGAGCCGAAGTCCTGGAACTGTATCTTCCTTAAATTTATCAACCTCAAATGCATCCGTTATTGGAACATTGTCCGGTCCCCAATTTCTCTGGGGCAATCCCTCACCTTACTCAGAGCAAACCAGTTCTGCTGCATGGCCAACACAATCTATGGGGCATCCATATACATCAAATGGACAGGGGCAGGGCTATCCATATTCCAGTCGACATGGCTCTCTCCTTGGTTCATCACACCACCATTTCCATCATGTTGGATCTGCTCCATCTGGTGCTCCTTTTGAAAGACATCTTGGATATTTCCCCGAGTCACCAGACACATCCTTCATGAGCCCAGTTTCTTTTGGACGTATGGGCTTAAGCCGCAATGAAGGTTACATGATGAATGTTGGTGCTCATGCTGCCATGAATACTGGAGCTCCTATCTCTGGAAATATATCTGAAAATGGTTCACCGAGTTTTAGGGCGATGTCTTCTCCAAGGTTGGGTCCCATGTTCCTTGGTAGTGGACTGTATCCAGGCCCAGGAGGCAGCATCGAGGGCCTGGCTGAACGTGGGCGTCGCCGAGTGGAAAGCAATGGAAACCAGCTGGATAGCAAGAAGCAATATCAGTTAGATTTGGATAAGATCATTAGTGGGGAGGATATTCGAACTACTCTAATGATAAAAAACATCCCAAACAAGTAAGAATGGTCATCAATGACTAAATGATTGGATGAACCTCTATAGTCATTTGTAGGTTCAGATGTTTACCCATGTTTGTTTTTCTACTAGATATACCTCAAAGATGTTGCTGGCTGCCATTGATGAAAATCACAGGGGTACCTACGATTTTTTCTACTTGCCAATTGATTTTAAGGTAATTTATTCTGGGGCATTTTGGAGGATGTTATATTTTTGTTTTCATTTTTTTTCTCAGTTGAACTGAAACCAATGTTTATTGCCTTATGTGGGTGCAGAATAAATGCAATGTGGGTTATGCATTTATAAATATGGCGTCTCCTTCACACATTATCCCCTTTTATGAGGTTCAATATCTGTCCTTTATTAGGCTTGGTATTGCATTCTATGAGTTCCTATGATTTACTTATGTGATAAGTTTTATAGAATGGAAGTGGAACAACTTAATTTGACAAATTTTATCAATGTAATACCCTACTTGTGGAGGACAATTTATAACATTTCAGTTTCAGCTTAACTTGCCTGGCATCTCATCTACTAGATGAGTTCCATTCTTTGGGAACATGTGCATTATAGAATCTTCAATTTTGTATTCTCCTAAATGACACTTCTAATATTTGTGCAGGCATTCAATGGGAAGAAATGGGAGAAATTTAATAGTGAGAAAGTTGCTTCTCTGGCATACGCTAGAATACAGGGCATGGCAGCCCTTGTTGCTCACTTCCAGAATTCAAGCTTGATGAATGAAGATAAAAGGTGCCGTCCAATTCTATTCCATTCAGAGGGCTCAGATGGTGATCAGGTAATATAGTCAGGCATTATTACTGGTAAATACTCTTCCCGGTGAAATATTTATAAAAAAACTGATGCTTTATCTACTTTTCCATGACAAGCTGAAATTGCACTTCTAAATAATTACTAAATTCTGGGTGCTTATGCAATTTAGTATCATTTTGAGGAATTTTAGCATGGTGAACTGCAATATCTTGTCAGTCCTTAAATCAGAAAGAGACAGAACTTGAAATGGGATATGTTTTTGTAAATATATGATTCGTTAGGGATCTTTTGCCCTTCTATGAAGAAAGGACTCTCCACTGTTTTGTTGCATCTTGTTTTGAGTTCCATATTTCTATTTTTTGTTACCTTGTTCTTGTCCTTATAAGTGCAATGTCATCTTATGATATGTTCTGTTTTTCAAGCCAGAAAGAATTTACTGATTGAATCATGCTTGATTTTTGCTTGTAGATTGTCCAGGAACCGTTCCCATCCAACAGTTTGAATATCCGTATCCGTCAGCCAGATGGATCTTACTCAGGTGATTCACCAGAAAGTCCTCCAAAGAGTAATTTTAGTGATAACTTAGAGACGAGTTAACACTGCCTTTAGAAGGCAGCTTGCTCTCAGCTCAAACGAGAAGATGACAGTGAGTTCTAACTGTTGCATAGATTATCAAGTGTATAAAGTTGTCATGAGAAACCGAAAAAAAAAAGGAAAAGAAGGGAAAAAAGTTGTGAAGGTCTGTATTATAGGAAGTGTCTACTTTGAGTGAAGGATGCACCCGGAGCATATCACAAGAAAAGCTTTGAAGGAAGAAGCAGAGGCTGAGGGTGTGTTGTTTGTGTAGAGTGAAGCAATCATATTTAAAGAGGGGAAAGAGAGTAAGGTGAAGCATACAGGTGAAGGTGCAATCTCTCTGCTGCAAAATGCGTTATTCGCCGGTTTGTGCATGATTCTATCCTTTTTGTTTCATTTTTTGCCTTTTTGGTTAGTATAGTTGATGTCAGGGATGAACGTTGGATTATATTCTGCAAATATCAATACGGTGTCTATATGGGGGTAAATTTTGTATGGGAATTGAAATTTTGAGTGATTAAAGGGTAGGGTGCTGTTCTCAGAACTGTATAGAGGTGGGGAGGGGGAACACCAGACCCTTGCTCCATGTTGTTCTCAATGTTTGTTTACCCTTGAAACGGTGGCAAATTTGTATTTAATGAGATATTGAACTCTGTACAGATCGTGCATTTATATCTTTCTGTTCTGTAGATTAAATTGAAAGGAAGGAAAAAAATGGTAGAACAAAGAAAATTTCACACCCGCTTTGAGAGGGGGTTCTATTTTTCTATCTTTAGTTATTTTTTTTATTCTTTTCACCAGATTATAGCTCAATGTTTTTAACTGTCTTTGACCCGGAGGGTCGGACCGTTCAGTTCGGAAACTGTCCAAGCAACTGGTTCCGTTTTATCCCTAACCCGTTCTTGGGTAAAAAACCATTGATTTCATTAGAAAATGCTGACTTGGGCGGTCGAACCGTCGATTTGTTTGACCCGACCAGCGGTTTGCAATATAAAGTTGCAGAGAGGAGAACTCGATCTGAGATCCAGTCTGAGACACGAACTCAGATCTGGAATCTAGCACAAAAAAGGAAAAGACTGCAGGTGTTTCAGAAAAATTGATCCCCCGCTGTCGCCGTTTTCTAAAGCAACTGCAATGATGTCAAACAGACGCTAGATTAACCTGCGTGTTTTTTTTTTGGTAATCGCCTACTCCGTTTTCATAGGGAGTTGAGTATTTTCTTTCCTTTTATGTCGTGTTCGGTTTGGAATTGGATACAACGACGAAATATCTGGTACGAAGCTTTGAAACTTTGCATAGGTCAAACAAAGGACTACTTGTACTTTGGAATTGGAGAGTTTTAATGTTTAGATTGATCATATATCTGTTATTGGTGGATGCATGGTAAAGTATTAGTGAATGCATGGTAGTTGGACTCTGATTTAATTCCTTGTATTTGATATGCTAACAACCTCTAAAGCCGATGTGTTAATGCAATATTGTTTGGAAGTAAATTATTTTCTTTAATGGAAATTAATTATTTATTGCTAATATTAGTACATTACTGCTTATTTTCAATAATATACAAGAATGGTGACTCTTTACCATTCATAAAGGTCTCAAACCAAGATTTCTCATAATTCCCTCCCCAAACCCATTTGCTTGCTTTCTTCTTAATTCTCTCTCTTTCTTTCTCTCTTTCCTCCATTCCCCTTTTCCAGCCCTTCCATGTAGCCAGGTAGTACCCTCTCTTCTTCACTAACTCCTCTCATGTTCTCAATTACTTAGCCAATCCCTTCCTAAAATTTCTCCTAAACTATGTACTTCGTCCACCTAAAATTCCTCCTAAAACACATGGTAATCTATATTAAATGCTCAATAAACCATCTAAAACCCAAAAATGTGTTAAGTTAATTAGTTCAATTAATATGGCTAGTTAAATTAATTTGTGAAATATTTTTGATATTTTCAATAATTACTGATATTATTCAGTAAATATTAACACCCAAACTATAATTTTCCATAATTTTTATGAATTGGAAAATTTAATTACTAAATATTACTTGCTGAAAATTACTGATTTTGATAATTTAATTTCAGAAATTGTTGAAATTAATTATTGAAATCAATAATTACTGAAAATGAATAATTAATTAAAACATTAATAAATACAAATTTAATAACTAAAAATTATCAGTAATTTTTAATTGTAAAATTTATTTTATTAAATATAAATATAAATTTTTACATTTTTAGTAATTTTGGTCAATTTATTAATATTTATTGATATTATCATATAATAATTAACAATTTTTAGTAACTTTTAGTGGAAATTAATTTCGATAAATATATTCTTTTACATTTTTAGTAGGTTTGATATTTACTATAATTTTTTAGCAAAAATTAGTGATTTTGGTAATTTAATTACTAAAAAGTACTGATTTTTGCAATTTAATTTAGTGAAAGTTAAATTATAAAATTTCCAATTATTCAAATAAATAATTGGAAAATTTTAATAATTTCCATAATTATTAGATACTACATTTATAATTGCCATAATTATTGGAACTATATTTATGGGTTGGGAGATGATCCCTGAGTAGGAATGGCAATGGGCAAGTTTGGGGCAAGAATCATACTCCCTGTTTGTAACCCCAATCCTTGTCAAGAAAAAAAATTAGCCTACATCTCCAGTCCCTGACGGAGACAGGTTCCCCATCGAGGACCTGAATCTTTGAATTTTTTAATTAAAAGTTTGTTTTCAAAAGGTATTGATTTAAAATAAAATGTAAATAATATTTTAATATATTTTGATATATTTAATATAAATAATATTATATATTTAATATAATATATATACACATATATTTAATATATATAGTCAGAGCCAGGTGGGGCGTGGACTTCAATCCCTATCCCCAATTGGGTTTTCCTATTAATTCCATCCCCACCCTATCCTTGCTAAGGCAGTCTCCTTCCCATCCCCTCTTGGTCGAGGAGGCCAGGTACTCAACAAGGATGGGGAAAATTGCCACATACCCTCGGGTTGTGTAGCCTTGTAGAGCAATAAGTTTTAAGCCCTACGAACCCTAAGATCTTTTTCCCATGCATTGCATGTGGGCCTACTAGTATTATATATATAAAGCAAGGTGGTCCACAAGGGCCTCTCTTTGCTCCAAACTCCCCATGCTGCTCTCTCCCCATTCCCCCTCCCACCACTCTTATTTAGGGCTGTCAACAGTTTGGGTCTGATTCGGGACAAGGTAGAACCATTCTGAATCAATTGTTAAATCAATAGCCCTAGAACCAAACCAGGCGCTAACGGTTCTAATAAATTAGAACCAGTACCGATCCCATCGGTTATTAGGACAATCTGGTCTGGCCCGATAAAAATTGATTAAATTTAAAAGCTGTTAAAATCTGTAGTTTTTTTGTAAAGAAAAAACATTTTATTCACCAACGTGTAAATAAAGAACATTTAAAAATTGTTAAAGTCTGTAATTTTTTTCTTTTTTTCTTTTTTTGTAAAAGGCTGTTACAATTATAGACATTATTATAATACAAATTTCAAGAATGCCATGAAAGGTATGAAGACAATAGCATGTACTTGTGTTATTATTGAATATTTAATCGGTTCTGGTATGAGTCGGTTCAGGATAGCCCAAACTGGTCCCGAACTGATAAAAATTGGGAAATACAATGAGGAACCGGAACCGACCCAACGAGATAGAATTCTAAACCAGAACCGACATAATTGGTTCGGTCGGTTTGGTTCAATCGAGTAGACCCGACCCACATCGAAAGCCCTACTTATTATACCAATAAAGTCAGCCAACCCCCCTCTCTATTCATTATACAAACCACAACATAATCCCCCTCATTATTTGTTCATTCACATTTCACAAATGTGATGGATTGAGAAACGACTTCTAATCTCTAGCTGATAAAGGCAATTTTTTGCTTTGAATATAAAAAGAAAAATAATATTTTTATAAAATAACTAAAATAAGATAGTTTTTTTAAAAAAATATTAAGAAAGGGCAAAATGACACTGTTCCTCGTCTTATTCCTTGCCTCCGTAGATTCGAAGACAACGGCGAGACTTTGAGGAAGACAAAGGCGGATAAGAGAAGGAAGAGGAAGAGGAGAGTTTTGCACTGACATGGGCGGATAAGACAATCGTCTTCCTCCGTTCTACGCACTGACATTGACATGGACTGATAAGAAAAGAAAGAGGAATGAAAAGGAACAATGAATTCGCCTATATCAGCGGAGGCGCCGTCGTCTTCATGGTTTACTGTAAATTCATGCTGATTGAGGGGATACACTGGATTCACAGATATCAGTGGAGGCGCCGTCGTCTTCATGGTTTACTGTAAATTCATGCTGATTGAGGGGATACACTGGATTCGCCCATGCGATTACACTGGATTTGAAGACGACACCCATATCTTATTGGTAGTTAGAAATGGCCGAAATTCTATTTTTTCAGTTTTTTTTTTCAAACTTTGGTTTTTTGAAAAGCTAAAAACATGTTTTTTATTATTAAAAAAAGTTGGAATTCTAAAACACTTGGAAAAAGGCATTTTGGAGCATATCTTTTTCAAAAGATATAGTGCGTATCATATCGATACTTTATACCATACAAAAAGTTTCCCTTATCAGCTAGAAACCCTTTTTTTTCTTGCCTTGAACAGATTAAAAATTTAAAACACCATAAATACTCACGAACCTCCCTCTTTTTGCCCCTTTTAATCTTCTTCATCCCTATTATTCCACAATGAAAAACTTAGTGCAACATCTCTTGAAACTAATGCCATAGAAAGTACAAAAGAAACCGTCCATCACATAAGGTCGTAGGAATGTTGCAAGTAAACCATTCATTAAGGTAAGTTTTAAGTTTTTGCTTAAATAAAGATTGCTTTGAAACTTTTACTTCAAGTTTTAAGTTTTCATAAATTATTATTTTTTTTTTCATTTGTTGCAGAAAAGTTGTCACTTTGATTACAGTCCCATAGTTTCTCTTAGAAGGAAGTTTTTTGCATTGCAGATATACTACTGATTTTATAAAATTTTTCAGACTTTATAGTGGTTTTCTTCTTACATTTTGAGGTTTAAAAGGGTTTGTGTTTAATTTGGAAGTAGCGGTGCCATACGGGATTGCTAATGCAGGTGCTGCTCCTGAATCTGGGAAAGAGTTGGTCTAAATAGGTAAAAACTCAATTTTGATTTAACAAATTAAATGGCCAATGTTTGATAGGAAATTACCGCCATCCAGCCGGTGATACAATTACTAGTACCCATATGTGATGTCGGGTGAAGAAGAAAGGATATTCGGGTTTATATTGACCCACCATCAATTGGCCATAAATTATTAGAGTTAATGCACAAACACATGTTTATGAATGAGATAAGGCATCAAAGATTTTAACGGGAACTTTTGAGCTAAATATGTATTCGTACTAGTTGTTGTAAATAAATTTGCTATGTAAATAAATTTGCAATGATGCAAAGTCATGGCAGTGCAAATGATTTGAGTGTAAATGTTGACCTATTTTTGTTTCAAATTTTAACTTATTTTGTTTGATTACAGTAGTGCAAATGAAATAAATTAAGACATGAAGCAGAATAAAATAAAATCCAAAATAAAATTAAATCAGAATATGCATTTTTTACATTTATACTCATGTATT